AACGACTTGCCTCCAGAAGTTGTGGTGTTTAAGACAGATAGACAGCCATTTGTCTGAAATGGTATAGAGTCCCCTTTTGAGCAGGTGGTTGGACCAGTAGATCTCCAAAATCCCTTCCAACTCTGTTCTGCTTACTTCTTATATACCCAATGAAATCCCATCCTTCCTTACAAAACAGTGATTCACTACTTCAGTTTGACATACAATTGTTTTTATCATATTCTTTTTCAATAATGCTGTACATAGGATACTATTATTCATCTATACATTGAAATACTATTCCAATATTTACATTATTTAGCAGTGACTAATTTGATTACTATAAGCAAAATCCTTTTTTTACTTACATTTCTTATTTTTGGTAACAAATCTGGCCTTGGAAAAAATTGAATCGTTTATTTATTTTTACCAGACATTTTGTTTAAATACATTATTCCAAAATTCTCATATTCCGCTGCATTCCTACCACAGATGAATGAATAATTCCTTTGACTGACAGCCTTATCAACATCTCACTGAATATTGAAAAAGTGAGATTCTGATGCAAATGTTAAGATGCGTGGATGCTTGATACTACCATACAATATCTGCCATACTGCCAGATATTGTCATCTACTTGTTCTTCTAAATCTAAGACCCATTTAACATAGCATGTAATTTATACTGATTATCAAATTAATAGAATGGAGTTAATTTTCAGCTGCTTCGAATTCAGCATTCAGAACTCTTTATTTATTTATTTATTTATTTATTTATTTATTTGATTTGTATCCCGCCCTTCTCCTCACCGGACTCATGGCGGCTGACAGCCTTATAAAACAACATTACAACAAATATCAATATTAAAACCAGATTAAAAGAAAATATTTGTAAAGGCCAAGTCGTTAAAATTACCCTTAAAAACCCCACTGAAATTCCCTAGGCCAATCCCGCTTGTTGGAAAAGCCATGTCTTTAGGGCGCGGCGGAAGGAGGGGAGATCCGGGATCACCCGGATCTCTGGGGTAGTTCGTTCCAGAGGGTGGGGACTCCCACCGAGAAGGCCCTCCCCCTGGGGGTCGCCAGCCGGCACTGTCTGGCTGACGGCACCCTGAGGAGACCCACTCTGTGGGAGCGTACCGGCCGATGGGAGGTAACCTGCGGCAGAAGGCGGTCTCGGAGATATCCAGGTCCAATGCCATGGAGCGCTTTGAAGATGATGACCAACACCTTGAAGCGCACCCGGAA